GGGAGAAATTAATTTTTGAATGAGAAGAACTTGTTCGGAGTTACTGCGCGTTTTGAAAATTCATTCCTCCTCTCCTAATAGAGACTAAGGGAATCAAACCACTGTCATTTATTGAGAATATTATCCTCGATCGATAGATGTTGCGTTCATTCCCTCTTCGCAATTAGGACGGCGGGGGGGGGGGGGAAATGAATTTTCTAATCGGTGGAGCCCCTCCGCGCTCACTCGACGCCGTAAAACCGTTCGGAGTTCCTCCGCGCTTTTGAAAATTTATTCCTCCGCTGCTACTTGAGTAGGATAGGATAGAATTTCCCGAAGATTCCAAAAAGCTTCATTGTTCTTCGTGCATGGAAAAAGGGGATTTTCGGGAAACTCCTTGCCATCGCAAGACTTTTACCGATTTATTTTTCTGCGTGTGACGTCCGTATAAAAGATCAAAAAATCAATTTAACAATGGGATAAATGGAGTGGAGAGAAAAACGTGAATATCTCGGAAATTAGATGCGATAAAATGGGCCCTTTTCACGTGGACGTACACACATAATTGGACTGAAATTTATAAAAAATTTTAATTTACAATGACGAAATTCCTTGATATTTCCATATTACGACAACGCGATAAAAATTCCCAATAAGTGTTCCCGGAATTTCCGCGAAAATATTACTGAAACCTACAGACATCATTCCTGAATTCAAGACTTTCCTTTGATTTTCAGGATCATGACTCAAAATGATCATCAAAATGACTTAATTTTAACATTGCTTGCTCATTGCATTTCAGAAATGCAGCTGCCTAAAAAAGACACATCGATTCTTAGGAACAACGTTTTTTTTTTCTCGGTAAATACAGACAATAGAGAAATGTTAGAGTGGAATTCCGGGATTTTTTTTCACTCTCGATTAATTTTTTAAAGATTCAAATTGATACTTGATTCATTCACATCGTTCCATTCCATTGGGAGATATTGTCGATTGGAGACAATTTTTTATGGTCACTGAAGGAGGCAAACCATTCATCTAAATCTCGCAATAATCTGCGAAAAATCTTATTCATTAATCTATTATTATTGAATTAATCCCATTATGTGTAGATCGCTGCTGGGACCTACGTGTCAATAATAAATATCTCGAGAAAAAGGAAAAGACTTTTAGATCATTAGATTCTGCATTCATTATACTATTGATTATAATATGTTCGATTTTACATTCCTGACAATTATTACAAAATGCGAGGAGCTACCTTATTGAGAACCCCTTTCCGGTTATCGACAAATTTATGCTCGGGCCCTACCATACCAACAGTTCCGTACGCTCCATCGTAGTCCATGCGCCACCGCTACTAATTTTGCTGTTGAACACTTTACATTGGCCCTGCTCATCTCCCCTGTAATCTCTGTTAACAGCTCTAAAAAGTTAGCCCCTGATTATTGAAAATTGACTTTGATTCAGTGTATGTCAATGTCTATCAAATCATTCCGCGTAAAATGTGCCCAAGTAGAAGTTTGTATCAATAAATTTAAAAAAAAAAGAGGGGCTATCTTTAATGACTTTTTTTTGAAAATTCATTTGAAAAAAATTCAGGCTATCAAATTATTTTTATAGTCAATCATGGTCTATCATTTGCCTATCTATGGATTCCCATGGTCAAAATAATTAATGATTAATAATCAGGGGCTAACTTTTTAGAGCGGTGGTTAACTTGAACCGTGTATTCAACCGGGTTTTAGCTTGAAAACTCGCCCCAAAGTGTTTCCAGCGCTATACCCAGAAAACGGACTGATTCGGAACTCTAAGGCGAATAGCCAACGTCACGTCCTAGTTTGTAACCAACTTCACATCAAAACAAAGTGGACTTCATTTTACTCATAAAAATGACAACAAATGTTTATAAAAAAAATCGAAGAGTCTGCTGTGTGCCACACTGTAAAATTAAAGATAAATCAAATTTGAGCTTTCACCATTTCCGATCTGATGCGGCCTTGCGGAACAAACGGATGGAGGTATTGAAAATCGACAGGCCTCATGACCGAGAAATGAGAGTTTACAGTTTGCAGTCTGTAGATAACTTTACGAAACAAGGTCAGTATTATAAATAATTTATATTGAAAATTTATTGATTAAGAATGAGTATTACATGTTAATTGTGGAGTAGTAGTCAAGAGCTAAAACGTTTCAAGTAACTGGAGAGAGATACAATCGTACTTGTCATCAGTGTATTAAAAAAAAAATTCTGGGAGTTTGGATCATTCTCTTTTTCTACCTTCTCCAACTTCATGCAACAAAATTCCTCCAAATTCACTACCTGATTCTGGGGTAAATCAGCATTTGATTTCACCTTGCCCCATTGCTGTTTCAAGTCTGTACAGCTCAACATCTGTCAACTCGAATCCTAGATAAATCCAATATTTAAACTGCAGATTGCGTATACTCGAATATCACTGACGATCAGTACATGTATTGAAGTAGATAAAACGATCAAAAACAAAAAAAACATGACTTTCCTTACCGATAAATATACAGAAGTGTCGCAAAAATGTGTTTACATTTTTCACCCAAGCCAGCTGGACAAGTACATTTGCTAATTATTTTCCTCAAACAGAATTTTTATAGTTATTTCGTGGTAATTATTCCAATGTGACGATTGAAGACAAGCTGACACAATTTCTACGTAATTCTGTTTATAACTTTTGACACCACAGATGAGGATGTGTTCAGCTAATAATACCTCCTCTCCTGCTTGAATTGGTCTCCTAGTATCTCCTAGTAAGTCTCCAATATCACAAAATGTCAAATTGAACTTTGGATTGATATTCATATTTACAAAAGTCCAATAATAATAGGGTAATGGGAGATGAAATTAAGAGTCGGTAAGAGTGCCCGGCGCGTATCTGAGAGACCCGGGTTCGATTCCCGGCTGGGTGAAGCGGAAATTTTTTCTCTCTAAATTCTAATTCTCTTAGAATTTTTTTTTCAAATTTAAGATCTTAATTTCGTATAGCCATACATTCCGGCGCCCAACCACCTGGTAGGCTCCGCCATAGGCTAGTTATAGAAACCCTCAGTAGAGCGCGAAAAATTGCTTTTGGCATATCGTCAATTGTTCCTTTTAACAATTAATGATTCATCATCGTTCATTATGCTAAGTGTTAACACGCACGAAAAAAATTCATAGAAATTCCTAGCGAATTCGCTAGACAATTGTATTATATTTCTACTGAACTTTTTATTAGTTTTTGGCCGTTTCCATCGAAATGTTCAATAGAACATATTCTATAGAAAAAATCATAGAATTCTATTTTTCTATGCAACTTATTCTATAGAGATATTTTCGGTGGAATTTCCTTGGCTTACATTTTCTAATTTTTTTTGTTTAATTTTCTTGATGAACAGAAAAGGAAAAATAGAGTGAAAAAAACTTGGGTAAATATATAGTATCACTCCCCCCCCTCCGATTTCGTTCAAATTTACAGGGATGGTAGTATTCCCCGAGATTAGAAAACTTGGAAAATTTCAGCCGAGGAAATTTCGTAGAAAATATCTCAATAGAATAAGCTGTATAGAAAAATATATTTCTATTGAGTTTTTCTACAGAATATTTTCTATTGAACATTTCAATAGAAATGGCCAGAAGCTAATAGAAAGTTCAATAGAAATCCAATAGAATTGTCTAGCGAATTCGCTAGGATTTTCTACTGAATTTTTTCATATGTGAAGATTAATGGTAACAATGCGTCTCGGTTAATCAATTGTTTAACCCTCTATTGTAAAAGACTGCCTGAGTAGTACTTCTTTTTGAGAATTTTTGTGCAATTGTTGTAAAAATCCGAGGTATTTCTCAAATTGGTTCTCCTTTTTCATTTCAATCAGAGTGCAGTAGTCAGTCACGTGACCCTTTCACATCAGTTTTGTTCAGAAAATTCTGCCTTTTCTTTCCAATTGTTTTCCCATTGTTTATCCAAAAAATCTATAACATTTGAGAACATTATCAAATTTTTTTTAGAAAACCTCATAATTGTTTTGAATTCTTTGTAAAACTCCAAAATCATCCTACATTCAGATGAAAAAGCCGACGATTCTCTAATTTTGGAGGGAACTTGCAAACTTCCTTGAAGTTTTTATAAATCATCCTCTATTCATCTTTTCAGAGGTGAATGTTATAAAGAAGCTGAAATATATATTCATTAATGAATGAATTAATTTCTGAAAACGTTCTCTTAATGGATATTCACATCGGGAATAGGACCTACCCTAAAATTTTTATATTTCTAGTGTTAATAGTTTCGGATTTGCATTATTATTTCAGGCAACCTTTTCACATTTCTAACGCAATAGCGGCCGTGGTATTGGTGGCCCTTCCATTATACCCTTTTTTTCCGTGTCAGATTCAATATTTCTTATTTCGATTCATTGTTAGCTGTGAAATTTTCATATTGCAATGAATGATTTGCGGATGTGTTAATTCCTATGCTCATTGAATGAGATTTTGATTATAATTACAATCAAATTTCTTCTTGAACATAATTCAGAGAGTAAAGTGTTGAAATTCAATGTTTGGTGATACTCTGGTAAAGGTGTGTGCCAACACTGCTATAATTTTTTTAATTCAGTTCACTCGGTAGTTCAATTAATCTGCTGTTTATATTATCAATACGATTTCGTGCTTAGAATATCGTCACCTCATGTTTTTAGCACCGAACAAAAAATTGAAACTTAAAATGACAGTTTGACTTCTCTATCCTTTCTCATGAATTTAAAATTCATGTTAATGGTTCAAATAATATTACGTAAATATCATCATTCTTGTTCTCTGCTGTTATGGAATATTGAGTCATAGCTTTTTATTCATAATAGAATTTTTTAATTTAGGTATTATTATTATTCGTTCAAGGTAAAAAAATTGATCATCACTTTCACTGTGTTGCATTCAGATTCTCCTATACTTAACGTAAAAAACATCAGATAATCTGATAATTCTGGCTATTGATTCTAATCAACGTTATTTGGAGAAAATTTTAGTAAACTCAACATTAAGGGAATTGAATCATTCTATTTTCCTCTGACCTAAATGATTTCGATAATTATAATTGATTCATCAATCGAAAATACAGAGAAATTAGGTACAGAATATTCATGTCTTGAATCAGAATTTAAAAGTAACTTTCTATCTTCACGCTGGTAAGAAATATTGAATACCGTTTAATTTTCAGTAGAATTTCAATTTTCATGATTTTTTCCTCCCAAACTGAATTAAATGTCTCTGTCCTAAAAATTACTACTGAACTGTCCATGAAATTTAAATTTGTTTTCACCAGTAGACTAATGAAATGATTGAAAAGTCGCCATTTTCAGAGACTGCGACGTTTTTTCATATAAATAATTCTATAATAATCCATTTTCCATTCTAAGAATAATTTTTCCTGAATTGTAATGAATTTTTCCGATTTCAGGACTTCACCAAAAAACGATTTCATGCAAAAAGATTATATTTTTGGAACTATTTCCATTATTCATTCCTAAGAAGGGAATGTTGAAAAAAGCAATTTTGTGGTATTCCCTTCGAAAACCGCTGCTAATCCATGCTTTATTTTCGATCTTCTTCTAGCCAATTCAATAATGATTGAAAATCTTCACATGAAAAGTAGTCCTACGTTTTTTTCATGGAGAAAATTCAATATTCTTTGATTTTGTGGTATAAAGTATTGACTTCATTAAAAAAAACCTCGAAAAACAAAAATCTAATAAAAAAATTGAAATCGAAAATTTTTAGATTTCCAATTCTTTTCATTCCATTATCGACATTCAAGTTTATCTAATTATCAATCAGTCAATCTTATTAGCTCTTAACACTTGTCACCAAAAAAAATTTTCTCATTCCAGTAATTGTAAACAAATCCTTGTGTAGAAAATATACACTGATGTATTTAATGTATGTATATATACGATGCTTGTTTCTTTTTTTTGAGGTACGAAATCAAATTTGTAATTCTCGCGCACTTTCTTGAATAGCGCCGTCGCAGTCGCATTGCTCATCGTCATAAAAATTCACATGAGAACTCGTCAAAAATAACACTTGCGGTGGCTGCCATGACAGTGCTCGCTTTTTTTAGATACTAGCGCCGCCGCGGCCGCAAGCGGCCGCGACGTTGATGCCCATTTATTATGCCTTTGCTTTTTTTGTTTCCTTCGAAAATTAATGATTTATCGTCGTTTTAGTCTCTTGAGTGTTAAAGCTAATGAAAACAATGCGTCTCGGTTCATTGCTTGTTCAATTCAAATATTATAATAAGTGATCCACTAATTCTGAGTTTCCGTCCTCATTGAATGAAATTTTAATTACTATTGTAATTAAAATTATATTCAGAGTGCAAAACAACAATTATCAAATTTCTCACAGGCCATAATTTTTTTGTCTTCGCCTCCCTCTTCATTTCCGTTTGCAACTTGACAAAAGTATTCAATTATTTTTCTAGAAAAATTATGGGGTCAATTCTGATCTTCTTTCGCTAATTCGAAGTGTTTTCGCTTCATTCATGATTTTTTCACAATTTTATTCGACGATGTCATAAACTTCAAACTTTCATCATCTAATCATCTAAAAA